TGGRCASCACCAYGTGATTTACCTTCCTATGATGGTTGTGGGACCRGTGTGATGGGTCCCCTTGAAGATTTAGAAAAGATCTTTACGCTTGCACACAAAGGCTAGAAACTTGCCTTGACATGGGATTGATAGTAGCTTCGAAGAGTCGGATGAGAGAAGAAATCATCTTCGTTAGTCAAATTTAAGCCGGCTTCGTTCCCCCACTTGACGTATTGCGGTTTGCCACCATAACCACCCCAGTTGTTGATCAATGACAGTATAAGCCTAATCTTGAATTTCTTTGCTTCACTCACCACAAAATCTAAGGCCTGTAGACTCTCGCATATGGTAAGAAAAAAACTTTAATAGATGATAGATAGAGGTCTCTACCCCCATTGGATAGAGGCAGGTTTGTGTACATCCTACCACCCCCGGACCATATATCTGCATGGGATTTACTGGTCGGGTTTTTAGATGATAGATAGGGGATAGAAAGAACCTTGAAAACATCTTCATCGTAAACAGAAGGTTTTTTCTGAAGCGCACGCCACTGACCGTCGTTGAAAGCCCATGTTCGACACACTGTCAACCCCACAGCCGATGCTTGTCGAAAGACCTCGGTGACTTTCCCTCTTGTAGACTCATCCGCAGCCAATACCATCAACCAGTAAGTATTGAATCCGTTCACGTAAAACGGCTGATCATTCACCACAAATTGGTTCCCACTTTTCTGCACCATTGCCCATGAGTCATCTTCCATCTCATCCATATCATCAATCCTGCAAAACCCATGAATTATCAAATCAAGACTCGAACCCTCGACCTTTTGGTCAAAAGGGCACGACCTTAACCCTTGGGGGTAGCCAACTGGTCAGGTTGGTTAGGTTTGAGTCCCTTAGGGCCACCAGAAGTTTTTGTGACTGTTAGCTTTAGGGCCCCATGAGATTAGTCGAGGTGCTTGGAAATTGACATAGTTATATAAAAAGAAAGATACAACCTCAAACAAAGAATACAACATTGTAATAATGAATATAAATTTGCAGATTTTTTGACTGATGCTACCTATGTTCTGAGAAATGGTTGCTTGTTTTTTCAAGCATTATATCAGAATCTTGATCTTGATAGAGACCAAGTAACAAAGAGTTGGTATGGTGACTGTAAATGAAGAGGATGGCCATCAAGAAGATCGTTTTGTGGATATCCATGGCTATTTGGTTACATTGGGAATGGCTCTTGATCAACAACTATAAATAACAAGATGAATTGCTATAATGGGGACATTGCTGTGATACTCAAGAGAAGTGTTGGGGAGGAAACCATCTTGCTACCTTCAAAGCTAAGATGATGGAGTTTGGTACTCTCTCTCTCTCTCTCCCACTCTCTCTATACATACATATATATATATATATATATACATACATATATATATATATATATATATATATATATAACACTAAATTGTATGTGATTTGACTGATCAACTTCATTGAGCCATTCGACCTAATGACTTCATTTCCTGACTAAATGAATAATAATTACCACAAGAACAAGGTGTTTGGAATTATTTGCGTTTATTCATAAATGGTTTGCTTATGAAAATAAAAAATGATGATATTGAAAATCTATACATCTTTTTGTTAATTTTGATGTAAAGGGGAGTATTTACTATATCTGATTGCAACAGAAATGCATGACACAGACAATATGACAAGGATATTGGTTAGATATCGTTGTCACTCTTTTGAAGAACACTTTTACTGAAAGCGGGTAGGCATCAAATAATTGCCGATAAGAGGAGAAGTTTGAATATCATATATGATTACGCACATGATACACAAGTTTAATCATATATGATCATGTACATGTTGCATTGACAACACATAGACGCTTAATCATATATGATTAAACACACCTAAAAGAGTGTAATCAACTAATTGTATATGATATTAAAACTTCTCGCCTTGTCGTAAAATATTTAACTTCTCACACAATCCTTCCTCTGTATATGTGTAATGTATATGAAAGGATTGAAATGCGAATACCTTTATTTTACGAAGATGTCACATATATATTTATATATGTAAATATATGGTTGGGTTTTGGTAGAAAATTCCAAATTTTGTGAGAATTGTAGGAACACCGTTGATCCTGTTTGAGCACAGATTGATCGAAACGCATTGATGTGCATTGCCTTTTTCGAAGGAGGGCAGATCATCATCGCATATCCTGCATCTGGGCTGGTCGAGACCGATTAAGTATACGTATGTTAATATTTTCTCGGTAAAAAATGTTAATATATGTCCACTTATGTTTGGGTATGTTAATATCCACTATTTTTCATGTTTTATATTAACGTTCATTTATTATTTATACTATCTTATAAAGCATTTGATTAAAACTCTTTAAAACTCTTAAAAACTCTTAAAACCGTTCATCCCTAAAAGATTTCATCCCTATCCGATTTCATC